AAGTTTCTCTGAGAGGAGCTACACGAATGCTTTATATGCACAATTTGCTTAATCCTCACAGTTACCCAAGGAAGCAGGCCCTTCATCCTCACTTTTCAAATGAACGGTGGAACTGGGAGGTCAAGTGGCTCACTTGGGATCAAGCGTCCACGCAGTGCCAGACAGAGTGCATACCTAGACCTGCTGCCCCAGAGCCCCCCAGAGCAGTCTATTCTGTTGCCTGCACTGCCCCACGGTGATCTCACAGGTTCATAGCCAGTGAACCCTGACTGGTGCTGTCCAGGTGATCCAGGCAAGGTCTCTGCCCTCAGAGCTTATATCCAGTGGAAAGGGCTGACCCACAAGTAGATCCCAGGGTGTGGGCACCACACAGGTCAGCCAAGGCTCAGAGGAAGGGATGGGAGCCCAGAGGGTGCTAGGTGAGATGTGGGAGGGGCAGGGAAGGAAAGGCTGGACTAAAGGTAGCATGCGTTGGCTGTCCTGAAAGACTCAACCTGAGCTCCTGTAGCTCTTCCTGCTCCCACAGTGGTGGGTGGAGTGAGGGAAGCAGTGGACTGGGTCTTCTCACAGACACTCCAGGCTTTCAGGGCAAAAATGGAAGCTGAGCAGGGCAGGGATGGGCCTTTACCTCTATCAGGGATGTTGGAGGGGTGGTTGTCACCCTGTTCCCCATACGGCAGCACATCCTGCAGCTTCATTGCACCACTTTCTCAGTGCCTTAAGAGTCAACAAAAACTCCCGGCAGGGTAATTCCCGGATGGTACTTCCACTGGTCTTCCAGTGAGGGGTCGGTATGTGTGTAGTAGAGGTGGGTGCCCCCAGCCAGCGCCATCCTACAGTGCAGCAATGGCCAATGCTACCTTCACCCAGCACCCTGCACTTTGGTAGGTATGCTGACACTGAGCATGCGACCTTCAGACTGACATCAGGCCTTGAGGGTACCAGACTTCTTTACCTGGGGGACATAACCTATCCAGCATGGAACAATCTCTGGCCTCACCCCAAGTCCAGGTATCTCCAGCAGGAAGCAATGCCCAGAGGACATTCCAGAAGTATAAGGAGTAGATGATCAAGAAGAAATCTAACCAGTCAGGGGTGGGACATGCCCAATGGGCTGAGCAGCAGCCAGAGTCCTCACATGCACAACTGAGACAAGAGGAGTCTGTGGAGAGGTCAGGCCTACTCTGGATTCTGGACTCCCTGCTCAGTGTGACCAGGTGGGAATAAGTGGGAACAGGGACAGAGGATGCTACAGGTCCCCAGGGTAACAGGCTGGCAGGACCCTGCAGAGGAGGGAGCCAGTAGGGCTTCAAATGGGGTCTGCCATGTGGAAAGTAGACCAGGGATCTGGGGGTGTCACCACATTGAAAATGAGAGGGCAACGAGGTATGAGACACAGCGAAGGTCCATCCCTGCCCCGTGTATTTGGAAAAAGGAAGCAGGCGGAGGCCGGGGAGTCTATGATTAGACAGCGCTATGAGCCTGGTGACGCAGGGCTGGGAGTGGGGACAGTCTCCACGGGCACCGTGAGCTTTCCGCTCACAGGGAACCCAGCAATTTTCTACCCACTCCATTTCCAAAAAAGATACACTTATTTTAAATGTCACTGGGCTGCTAGTCTGGTCGCTTTCCTGAGCAGCAGTGCAGGCTGGCTGTGGGGCAGTCCCACCCTGCCAAGGATGGGGAAGCAGATGGGGCCAGGCCTGGCTCCGGAAGCCCCGAGGGGACTTCTCCAAGTAAGGGGCTCTACCCCCCCCAACACCAACCTGCCTGAATGAATAAGCACTGTGATTAGGCAATGCTGAGGGCCAAAGATAAATTCTGCTTAATCATTTTTGAGCTGAAAATAAAATGAATTGCTGACTGGAAGAGGGATGGACAGAGACGTCATCAAGCAACCATAGTAAACGTCGGTGGCAGGATATAGGTGGGAGATACATGGATGTTCACTTAAAATTCTTTCAACTTTCCTATATGTTTAAGAATGTTCATCAAAATGTTGGCAAAACCCGGAAGGGCTGGTTTGCATGTTGGCATCACCTCTGAGAAGTGGGCTGGGCCCAGGACAAGGGCACAAAGCATGAGAGCTTGACCAGGCTGTGCTTCCTCACCAGAGGAGTGGCTGTCACACTGGCGGTGGCCAGCCCAGGTGAGGGTGTCTGACAGAGAAGCTCTCTAGGCCACGTACCTCAGGGGTTCATCAGAAACACAGATGTGGAAAACCACATATGCATCCGTGTACATGGGTAGTGGTGGTGTTATTCATTATAATAATGGCAGCAGCAGTGACTATATGCACTAGATGTGTGATGGCTGGGAACCACCCTATAGGGAAGTGGCATCAGTTCCATGTCCCAGATGAGCCGACTGTGTCCTGGGACTCGGCTGGTGAGGGATAAGCCAAGGCACGCCCACCTGCTTGGGTAAAAAGCCATTGGAGATTGGTCAGAACAAATGACATATGGCCCCTTAACCACTGTCTTCCTTTTGGAAAACCTAGGTGGGATGGGGTAAGCCTGAGAGAGTCCAAGGGTAGGAAGAAAGTGAGAGACTGTTGGACTTGGGCAGGGGCACTGGGAAAAGCTGGGGAGCCCATGGTTACAGGCCTGGGAATCGGAGGTGTTTCCCACTTGTCCACTAGGGGTCTGGGTTCTGAGCCCTGACTCCTACAGCAATAGCAGGTACCAAGAACTTCCCCTGTTCTTGGCCCAGGCATCCCATGAGTTTGCTCAATTCAGTCTTTACTAAGAACATGGTGACATGTTAACCCCCATTCTGCCTCTAAAACATGGTGTGTCTGCATTCGCCATGCAAGTGCTGGCTACGTAGTCTTGGCCTCCTATCAGAAACTGGGGGCCTATGTGACATGAAAGCAGTTGTAGCTCTAAGCACTGGCTTCCTGACAGCTGGCGTGCAGTCCCACGGGTGCTATATGAGAAATAACAGGTCACCCTGCTGAGCCTGGGAAGAGCAAGGACCCCCTCAAGCAGACATGCCAAACACCATGGGGGAGGTGGCACGGGGTCTTGCTCACAGGCCTGCCCCCCAGTCCAGCGCTGAAGGGGCATACACCCAGCTCTTGCACATTAACTGGGGTTTGTTTCCTTGCCGACCAGCTGTGAACTAATTACAAAAAGTTCTAACTAGTCAAGCGCCCTCTCCAAGCATATGTTCCCAATTAAGTCAAACTGCAGCTGATTTTAATCAATCTTCCTTGAAGCAGTCCAACTTGAAGACTCCTCCAGAGGGAAGGAGGCGAGCAGGAGAAGGTGTCTGTCCACGGAGCACTCCAGCAGTCTGCTCCATCAAGGCACGTGGTGGTGCTGGATTCTAAGGGAGCCCTCTTCAGTCTAGGCCAATCTGGATACAGTTCTGAGGTCCATACAGAGAAAGTGCACTGGACAGGGGTGGGAAGGATAATGAGCCATATACTGTTTCCACTAAGGCCTAGGGCCAGGATACCAGAAGCCATCATGGACTCTCCTGCTGCTTCCTGAGACCAGTAGATCCAGATACACAGGTGAAGGGGAGGAGGGTGCAACAGCAAGTGACATGAGCATTCAGGGGGCATCAACTGTGAGCCAGTGTCCTCACCTGACCCCTGACCCCTACCCAAAGTGTGGCTCCAAACTATCTACCTCCAGGAGCAAAAGGAGCAACATGGCTATCGAGATGCCCCTATTCTTCTGTGTCTCCCATTTTTGATGTGGAAACTTAAGAACACCAGGATCTGCTCCACCAGTAGGAAAGAAAGCAGATCCCACATGCAGTGCCCTCTTAGCCACATGTGGGCACTTGCTCACACACCAAAGCTTGAAGGAAAACTTTGGGCTACATGCAGCTGGTGTCAGCTGGTTCCCCACTCCTCATACACACAGTGGATGGGAGACTTGGATGCTGAGAGCAAAGTCACATAGACAAGGACCTGAACCTTCTCCAGGCAACCCCCTTTGGCAGAAGCAAGCTCCAGTACCACACAGGGTCTCCCACTGTGCTCAAGGCCCACTTTGAGCATAGAAATCCAGTCAACATCACTCATGCCACTAGGGATGCAGGCCAGGCTAGGCACTGCCCACCCCATTCCTTACACAGTAATACCTGAGAAAGTAACAGCCGCTGGACATAGCACTCACCTAGCACCCTCAACACCCTGGCCAGGAGTCACTGCTGGACTCCTTTGAAAGGTCTTAAAGCCCAGAAATAGGGGGAAAAAGGAAGTGAGCCAAGTCATGCAGCCACGATCTCAGACTGTGCTGGGCTAAATAGCCGGGAAGACATTCCCAAGCCCACTTTAACACGGGCATCAGGACTCACCTGCCAGCAGCCCAGCTCTCTATCCAAGAACAACAGTCCAATTAAACCTCACAAGATGACAGGTCCTGAGCTGTGCACAGTCCAGAGTAGCTCACGGCACCACATTTTATCAAAGTTGTCACTTCTCCCATCTCCAGGCATTGGTAATAAAAGAGAGATTTGATTTGCCTCTAATAGGTGTCAAGATAAAATCAATGGTCTGTCCAAAGTTTGGGTAATGGTAAGCCTGCCCGTTTCTTGCCATGGAACAATTTAGACAGGAGGAGATAAACAAATACAAAGCAAAATATAAACAGTGGTCCAACATCAGGATCACAGGTAGGAAGAATTGGGTTTGAACACCTAGACCAGACATAGGTCTCCTTGGGCACCCCACATTCCATACATTCCCATCACATCAGCCCCTGCAAGAGAGATACCAGACGGATAGTGGGCATGTGGCCAGCAGCGGAGGAGGGAACGACACCCATGGATGAAGATGACGACAAGCCTATGGTAGGGCATCCTCTCTGCTGGGCTCTGGGACACTTTCAACAGCCAGGGGTGAGAGAGATTTAGTGTAGTCAGATGAGTCAGAAAACTGGCTATTTATGGGTTGAGGAACCATTTGCATTCAAATCAACAAAGAAAACAGGAGGTTGGGGTTTGTCTGGTGTGAAACACCAGCACTGCCTGCTAGTGCTCACCTGCAGGGTGAACCTCTCAAGCTGTGCTTCCAGAACCTTCTTCTCTTCTTCCAAACGACTCCTCTCCCCTTCAAGTTCTTCAATCTTCATCCTACAAGGAGAATAAGACTGTGATAGGGCATCAACAAGAGCCAACAATGGAACTGTCCTACTTTCTGGGTGAAGAAAAGGTGAAAGGTTACAATAAATTGTGTTAACTATGCTGCTGGGAATGACATTAAGAAAAGGCCATAAAAATATGCAAGCACAGGATACATGCACAAGCAGCATCTGTTCAGATGAAGAAGGTTCTGCCTATCATCCATGCTCAAAGGAAGTATGGAGAATTACCCAGATCCCTCTAGATACATGTGGGACCTGTGTGTGTCCTGTGCCTTTTGTCTACTCTCAGAAGGCAACATATTGTACAGGTATACTGTACAGCCTGAAGCAACCCTAAAATAACAAAACAGAGTTACAGCTAAAAAGCAAAAAAAAAAAAAAAAAAAAAGAGTAAGATGGAATCATAAAAAATTATGATCAATTAAATTAATAAGGCAGAAAATCAAGAAGGGAATGAAGAAGAGCTGCAACAAGTAGAAAATATAAGATGATAAGATCAAACATAGTAACATCAGAATCACATTAAATGTAAATGATCTAAACACCCTCAATTAAAAGGTAGAGACACTATAAAAATGAATTAAAAAGCAACTCAATTACATACTGTCAACAGAAAAGGACTTTGTATTAGAAGGCACAGACATAACATGAGAACACTAAGAACAGACAGACCAGATGGAAGAATCTGCTAATTTCAGGGCAAAGAGCAGCACTCAGAACATTTCATAACAAGAGGTCAGATAATTGAGAGAACAGTCCCACACATTTACACAGTAAAAGAGGGACTGTAAAAGAGATGAAGCCAAATCTAGAGAACTTCAAGGAGAAACAGTTACAGAGATTTCAACGTCACTCGTTCAATAATTGACATAATTAGAAGAAAACCAGAAGGAGAAAGTAGACTTAAACACTAACAACCCACTCGGCTAACTGATGTTTATAAGCATCAGTCCCACTACAATAGCAGAACACACAGGTTTCTAGTGGACACAAATTATTCACAAAGACAGACCTCACGCATGGCCAAAGGATACTCTATATACTGAAAAGGATTTTAGCAATTCAAAATATGTTCTGTGACCATAATGAAATTAAACTGGGAATCAGTAACAGAAAGTATCTGGAGGGCCTCCCTTGTGGCATAGGGGTTAGGTCTCAGCGTTATTGCTGCTATGGCATGAATTTGATCACTGGCCAGGGAGCTAAGCCACATACGGCACAGCTCGCCCACTGCTCCCCTTCACAGTGTATTTCAGTAAATCCACCTGTTCTGCTTTCCACTCTGTCTCTGGTGAATCTCTCCCCCTGTACCTCTGGTCTATACTCCAGTTCTTCTATGCATAAATAAATACATAAATTGTTATTTTAAAAAAGTACCTGGAACACATCACTTATAGCAGCACCCAAAACCATGACATCTGTAGTGATAACATTAGGACAGCCACTAAAGGCCTGCAGACTGGTAATGGCAAGGTTGTCAGGTAAGCTGACAGAAATCAAAGGCAAGCTAAATATATGGAGAAATTTATTTGTTTATGGGTGAAAGACTTGATGTTAAGATTTCACTGCTCCCCAAACTATTCTGTAGAATCAAAGCAATCCTAGTGAAAAATCCCACAAGTTTCTTTGTACAAATTGACAAGTGATACCCAACACTGCATACTGCCCTCCTCAGGGTGTCAGCAACCCCCCCCCCCCACTCTTGAGAGTACCCTGCCACTGCCTGATGCGGGTGTTTCTGCAACAATGCAACAAGCTGCCTTTTACAGGGCAGCTCCCTGCACTGCCCTGGGTGACTCCATCTCTCACAAGGCAAAGACTAGCCCTGAGCTGCCAGTTGGGGGAGGTCTGCCATGCATTGTGGGAAGACTGACTGCCAGAAAAGGGATTCTAGTACCCAGTGCAAGCTGACTGTCCTACAGTTTACATCCAATCCACTAGAGAAGCATTCCTACACTTATTCTTAAAAGGGGGAAACTGAGGCTTGCAGAGGGTAAATGACAGCTGGAAGGTGGCCTATAGATCCATGCAGTCAGGTTCCAGTGCTGATACAACTCGAGATGCTTGGAGGGAGGGATATGTGGCCACCTCCATGAACCCACCTTATTCGAAAGGTTTTTTGCACCTTATGGAAATACTGGATAGAAGCCTTGCAAGACCCCTTTTAAAACGAAGTATTACAGATTCTGGAGAATTATAAGCACAATGTTCTCGAAGGGTAAATTAAAATAAGTGTATGTGTGCAGCTACAGCCACATTAATAAAATGGCCTCTATAATCCATCCTGGCTGTCAGGAAATAAACCCATAAATAACACTTGTTTATGCATTTTTAAAACATGATATTTTCCTTTTTTCTCCTCCCCTGCTTTTAAGGTAAACTGTTACCTTTCTAAGAGAAAGGGGAAAAGAGAGAATGAATAAGTATGTGCATGTGTTTGATTAAAAATGCAAAAAATTGTTCAAGAATGCTGATTTGCCTTCAGATGGTTCAATGCAATCAGCTATGGCATAGGGTTTTTTGTTTTTTTTTTAAACATTGAGGATATACACAGATAGTAAGCTAGATGTTAGATAAGACAGACATACAGGTAGACAGATATGTGGCTAGATGGATAGGTTAATAGATGCATATAAAGATAGATGAGAGACATAGATGGATGGATAAGTAGTTAGATGGACAGATAGATGATAAATAGATGGAGGGATAGCTGATGGACAGACAGACAAGAGATGATGGGTGAATGGACAAGTAGATGGGCAGACAGAGAGATGGCAGATAATTAGATGATGATGATAGACAGACAGACAGAGACAGACAGATAAAGTTGGGCTGATAGATCATTTACTTGAGAGGACTAAGGCAAAAAAAAAAGCAGGGGTGCATGTCAGGCAAAATCAACCAGAAAGGGGGAGTTGTTATCTACCCTCAAGCATTTATAATAAATATATTACACACTCTGAGAAACTTTTGCAAGAATAATGCACTAGAAAGCAGGGAAATTGAGGAGACTAAGATCTCATAATGATCTGGAGCAAGGACAGCCAATGGAACTGGAGGCACACTGGGAGAAGAGCACCCTGTCTATGATGCCACTTGCCAGGTTGATGCCTTCTGGCCTGAGTCCCCAGCTTTGTCTTGCTGGCCTCATTCTCTGGCAACCCTGACCTCTGTTCAAGGCTATGGTATCATGTCATCACTTTGGTTTCTCCAGACCATTCATGAGACAGGCTGCTTTGTTTCAGAGCTGAGCAGGGCATCTGGTTCACTGTAGGCATGGATGAGCATGTCCCCAAACAAGGAAGTTGGGGTCCTGCAGGGGAGCCTGGTGCATAAAGCGGCTGACAGCATCAGATATGGCATTATTCAAACAAGGAGGTGAATCCTGCTAGGGACTGAATGCTTGTGCCCCCCAAATTTCATATGTTGAAGTTCTATGTAATGGTATTTGCAGGTGGGGCCTTAAAGGATAGGAGGGTTAGCTGAAGTTTAGGGGCTGGGGCCCCATGATGGAATAAGTGCCTTTGTAGGAGAGACACTGGAGCACTTGCTTGTCTCTCACTTCATCATGTTAGGACACAATGAAAAGGTGGCCTTCTGCAAGGCAGAAAGAGGGCCCTTCCTAAAAACCAACGTTCTATTGATTTTAGACTTTTAGCATCCAGAAATATAAAAAAGCACATTTCTGTTTTTATTATTTTTAAAGATTTTATTTATTTTTGTGTTGAAGAACTGGGGTGTAGGCCAGGCGTAGGGGGGGGTGGGGTAGTGAGAGGATTCACCAGAGACAGAGTGGAAAGCAGAACAGGCAGATCAACTGAAATACGCTGCTGAGGGGAGCAGTGGGCAAGACAGGAGGGGTCTGCTACGCCATATGTGGGCTAGCTCCCTGGCTAGGGATCAAATTCAGGCTGCTGCAGTGGGCCATCACAGTGATTGCACTGAAACTTAACCCCTAGGCCACCAGGGAGGCCCCACATTTCTGTTTTTAATCACCTAATCAATGGCATTTGGTTATAGAATCCTAAGCAGACTAAAACAGGCCCAGCTCAGCCAGATAACTGCTGTGTGTCTTTAGGCTAATCACTCACTTTCACATACTGTTTTCTCACAAGGAGCATGTGCATTAAAAAGCCTCTCTGGGGGCCTCCTTGGTGGCACAGGAGTTAAAATCTCAGTGCTATCAAGCTACTGACAGCCACTGCAGCATGAGTTTGATTCACAGCTGGGGAGCTAATCCACATGGCGCAGCAGACCTCTCCTGTCTCGCCTGCTGCTCCCCTCAGCAGTGTATTTCAGTAGATCTGTTTGTTCTGCTCCCCACTCTGTCTCTGGTGACTGTTCTCACCCCCCGCACCTCTGGCCTATACCCCAGTTCATATATACATAAATAAATAAAATCTTAAAAAAAAAAGCCTCTCTGGGGTTCTAGTGGGATGCAGTACACAAGGTACCCTTTCTTTCCCACCAACAGAAAATGTAGACAGCATGTGCATGAGGCATACCCAGCAAAGGTGGATAAGGGGCAGCGCCTGAATTATGGTGAGCTGCTGTTCTCTCCTCCTGCATTCCCTGAGCTTCACACAATGGAAACTAGGCAGCTTGATCATGAAGCACATCAGCCTAATGCTGACTGGCCACATTCTATAGGCCACCTGGCCAGCACTGTTGATCATAAAAACAAAGACTGAGAAACTATCACAGGCCAGAGGAGGCAGGGTAGATAAGACAGCTATGATCAATGAGGTCCCTGGATTGGACATTAAATAGGCAAACTGATGAATTCAAATAAAAGTTGGAGAGTAATTAACAGTAACATATGACAAATGTTAACAGTAACTAATGACAAATGCACTGTGGTAATAAAAGATGTTAATCATGAGACGAAAAAAAGATGAGTAGTATACGGGAACTCTCTGTAGCTTTTCCGTAAATTAAAAATTATTCTTAAATGAATAGCTATCTGTAGAGGAAGAAAGGTAGGAAAGC